ACATATCGTCAGGGGAGCTCGTAAGTTGGTTCCGAGCAACTTACGAGTTCCCCTGACGGACTCTCGTAAACACACACTATTTCCTTTGTATGACCCGTCAGGAGAACTCTCTCCTTAGGGACTCAGTTCATCTCATCGCAGAACCTCGCATGACCGTGATCCGTCCGCGGACTTTGTATCCTTATGCTATGGCGAAAGGATCGGGATCATGTGAACTCGATGGACTTAGACTAGCCCCGTCAGATCAGATCATCTCACCTGACGGGAATTTTACTACGGGCCAATGACTTCTGAGCTAAGGGAAATCCAATGGCTAAAGTGAGCCAAATCTTTCTGCAAAGCAAATTGCTTCTTGCAGAGAGTGTGTGAATCGCTAAAGGTTTTCATTTCTCGTGAACTTTTCGTGTCTGAAAAAAGATGCACAATTAATTGAGGAATAAAATCCAAATTTATGGATTTTTTTTGATCTTACGCTCAGAAGATTCGCAAAAGACTTATCGGCGGCAATCTGCTGCTTCTTTATAGAAACATGATTCAAGATGCTTTGCCTTATAATTTTAACAAAAACCCAATTCCTCGTTAACAGAGCAAAGCTAGCGCAAGGAAAAGTTGCGGATAGTAATGGAGGATACTTGAAACCAGCGTCGTTAATGTATGCTTTGGTAAGGCTGCGATTTAGAGCCAAACGAGCAATGCACGTAATCCAAATCGCATTTTTTAGAAATGGGATTGCGAGCTTGAGAGTGCAGCCTATATACATGCAACAGCCTGTTCATTACAAATGTCCGCTCCTAGCACTCGCCCTGGTATTGGGGAAAATATTTTTACAGCATCAAATCGTGATCTGAATCACATAACAATGGCAGAATTGGTATAATCTTTGTTGTCGTTAATAAGAGTCGAGATCCTTACCATATTATTGACATAATCTCCTTTATTCTCCAGGCTACACAAATTTGGTGGACTGTCCCTACAAAGTTTAATCTCAATAATACAAGATATATGGAGATGGATGCTGACTTGTTTCCAGCTTGGAGTCAAGTAAGTATAATTTTATCTATTTCACTCAATTTTTCACATTCAGGTTTCTATTTCAAATTCGCCTTCTTAGGCCGTATGGTCGGAGACAAGTAGAGTAGGTTGCTACTCATACGCATGTCCAAATGGTCGATTTTTAGTGTGTCGTTATGCAGAAGGGTGATTCTGGTTTTTTCTTCATCATATGAGAACATCATTGAGCCAATTTTGCAGAGGCAACATCATTGGTAAATCTATCTACCGCATTGGTGTCCTATGCTCAACGTGTACGCATTTCTGCGTTGATGATAGCAGCTCCGTATATTACGGACTGTGTGTTACCTCCGACTAGAGATGCAAGGACTCATGTAGCAGTCAATAAAGAATTTCGCTTATGATATTCTCTTGCTAGCTCTAGCAGAATCCAGCGACTGTTCATAAAGTGCTGGATGTAGTTATGTCCGCTTTGATCTATCTCGCTTTATTTTAAACAATTTTCCCAAAATAAATCGAATAATTGTTCAAGAGTAGCTTGACAGACATATGAACAGCTTTCGTTTTGCTCAACAGCAGAAAACCTGAGAAAATCTATTCCATAAACCTCAGCTCAAGTCATAGCGTACTCTATCCCTAACGTTCACACCTTCTTGGCCTTCTTTTTGTATG